CGACTGAAATCGCGTGAAGTATGCCCGGCCCTTAAGTCAAGCTTACCTGAGCCGATGATTTCACAGTGCCAATTAGTCGCTTCAAAAACGACTGCTCTTTTTGCGTAGATAAAGATATGGTTGATTCACGATTGAGCCCTGAATCATAGGGTAGTTGAGTAATTTCAAATAGCAACAGGCAAGGTCAAAATATCACATTCGAGGGACCGCTGACCGAATCCAGAACCACGCATGGTCCTGAAGGTCGGATTTCTGGGGAAGATTTCCGGATCAAGCGCCGGCTCTTCGCGATCGTCATCATCATCGGAAAGCTCATAGCCTTCAGCATCGAGAAGCCAGTACGTGGTCATCTGCCCTTTTCCCTTAACACTCAATAGTTTACTAACAGTAGAGATATCCGCTTGCATTGGTTGTTTCGAAAGTTCTATCGAAGTTTAACTTCGATTCACCATGACTTTTTGTAGAAATGATCACTGCGAGAGTAAAACTTGGATCTGCAAATGATCTTGGCAATTTTATGCATATTTGAAAATCACTGTGTCAGCAAAAAGAAAGATTTCCTCGGCAGTATCAACACTAACATCCAATCAAGAGTATTGTGAAGATGCGCAATAGTCGCATGTACTGCTCCTGGATCTGAGGATTTTTACAAAAATTCACATAAAAATACGTAGGAACCCAATTTCTTCCCTCTCCCTCTAAGCTGCAAGAAAGTGCAGTTTTTGAATTTTAACTAGTCCGCCGCCGATACCGAGATTATTATTATATTTTGTCCCTCGAGCATCAAACTGTTTTGGTCTACCCTTACTTTTTAGAACGAAAATTACATGCGTTTGCTTTGACGATATTAATGCCTAACAAGGCCTAAAACGACCGGTCATGTTTGTACTAAAAATTCACAATCTCAGAAATTTCAACTCCGAAAAGCATTTTGTAGCATAAGTTCCCTGCAAACACTACACTTTCAGGAATTTTTCCATTCTTGCCTGCGAATTTAACGGCATTAGAGAAGAAGAAAAACTTCCACATGAGTTTTTTGTCTTTCCAAGGTACAAAATCAACATACACAAAGCTCAGGGAAAACGTATTTACAAAAACTAGGAAGAACGACGTTCCCAGAAAAAA